AGAGAGCACTGTCTCTTTCAATATCCAAAATGGTCAAGCCATTTGTAAACATTCACAATGGTGGCATCTTCCGGACAGGCAGAAGTCCACAGCTCAGCCCACCTTTTTCTTTGCCTTCTCCGTTTATTCCCCAGCCACCAGAGCAGTCCTCCATGCAGTCCCTGGCTAGCAGGGCTGATTTTTAGGTTAATTCTTAGGTCCTACCATCACTCGGGAATCTCCAAGTTATCTGTGCTGTCAGAATCACTGCCCGACTGCAGGTCTGTCTGTCTCCTTTTTTGGTATTTTCATGCAAATTCTTCTGCTAGTTTGGGTTTAGTCCACTTCTATATCCTTCCCTTCATGGCTCAGGGGTCCGGGATTATCATCTGTGTCTGTGTTAATTGGTTTCCATTTTCTTTGTTGAAGAGGGTCTGTGCAGACTTTCTGCCTATTCCGCCATCTTGGAGTCCTCCCATGTATGATGTTCTTGATGTAATCCCAAGACTCATCTGTTTTTTGGTCATTGGTGTTCAGTGCAGCAAACCTTTTCTTTAGATGGCCTGTAAAATCAAGTGGGATCTAATGAAGGTCATCTTTTGGCTCTTGTGGACTTGTCTTAATTTTCTTCAGCTTCAGCTTCAGCTTGAACTTGCATATGGCCAGCTGATGATCTGTTCCACAGTTAGCTCCTGGCCTTGTTCTGAGTGCTGATACTGAGTTTCATCATCACCTCTTTCCACAGATGTAGTTGATTTGATTCCTGTGTGTTTCATCTTGTGCGGTCCATGTGTACAGTCGCCATTTATGTTGTTGAAAAAAGATATTTCCACTAGATAAGTCATTGGTCTTGCAAAATTGTATCTTGCAATCTCTGGCATCATTTCTATCACCAATACCCTATTTTCAAACTACCAAAACTACTTCTTTGTTTCCAACTTTTGCATTCCAATCACCAGTAATTATCAGTACATCTTGATTGCATGTTTCATCAATTTCAGACTGCAAAGGCTGATAAAAATCTTCAATTTCTTCATCTTTAGCTTTAGTGGTTTATGCGTAAATCTGAACACTAGTGGTATTAACTGTTTCTCCTTGTATGTGTATGAATATTATCCCATTACTGACAGCATTGTGCTTTAGGAGAGATCTTGAAATGTTTCTTCTTTTTGACAGTGAATGTGACTCCATTCCTTTGCAGTTTGTCATTCACAGCATAGTAAACCATATAGTTCTCCTATTCAGAATGGCCAATATCAGTCCATTTCAGCTCATGAATGCATATGATATCAATCTTTATGTGTGCCATTTCATTTTTGACCACTTCCAATTTTCCTAGATTCATACTTTGTACATTCCAATTTCTGATTATTAATGAATGTTTGCAGCAGTTTCTTTGCATTTTGAGTCATGGCCCATCAGCTAGTCAAAGTCCCGAATGCTTTATTCACCCAAGTTATTAAGATCAACTCTACTTTGAGGAGACAGCTCTTCCCCAGTTGTATTTTGAGTGTATTCCAACCTAAAGAGTTCATCTTCCAGTGCTATATCAGACAGCATTTCACTGCTATTCATCAAGTTTTCCAGTAACATATCAAGCAGTGTTTCTCTGCTCTTCGTAAGGTTTTCAGTGGCCAATTTCTTTGGACACGCATGGCCCTGTCCTTTTTCCTCTAGTAGCTGCTAGCCATCCCTGACATTTCTGGCTTGTAAATTCTTTTACCTCTTCTGTTAAGTAATGTCTTCCCTCTGTATCAGCATCGAATTAGATGCAGATTGTATTTGAGCAGATATTATTACTGTTTTTTGTAGATAGAGAAACTCATGTTCAGAGGGTAACTTAACCTATGGCCTTAACTAGGACTTGCACCCTTCCTTAAATTTTTGCTGCTATTTCAGTGTTGTTTCTATATTACTATATGACTTTTTCTGCATATCATTTGATATTTAGGCATCAGTTGCATATGTTAAATTTTTTGTCTTTTTTTTTTTTTGTCCACAGTTAATTTGATACTTCTGATATTATAACAAGATTTTAAAGCTGGTTAAGAGATCTTGGGCATCCTCTTGTTCTGTACTCTTCTTGAGGAGATGAGGCCTGCAAGACTTGCTCAGGATCATCCAGCTAGCTAAATTTGGGGTAGAATCAGAATAGACCAGAACCCAGTCTCCTCATTTCTAGTGCAGGGAATTTCTTTCCTTCCTGGACTTTTTCTCCTCTGTCTTTTATGTAGTTGGCTTTTTCTAATCATTGATTCTTAAAATAAATGAAGTATTTAAGTTTTGCAGCAATGTAGAGGATTAGCAATGCTTTGCCACTGAATTACTGTATTTATTTCTAAAATAAGAGTGTGGTGAAGGGGATGAATATTATCTCACCTAGGATTTGTTTGTTAGTGGATATATTCAGTAGTGTATTCCTTTATTAAATATTCAACCTAAGAAAAGCCAACATTATTAAAATTCAAGGAATGGAATCGGCGAACACTTACTTAGCATCATACTTTTTTCTTCCTTATGCTTGAATAATTTCTTTTATAAGTATCAGCACAAGGCTGGTCCCTTGGTGGGGGGAAGGGGCAGAAGTTAAAGATGTCCCAAATATCCAACTTTTCCAAACTGCTAAACCACACCATCATTTCTCACATCAACTGCTCCTCCTCCCCTCAGTACTTTTCCTCCTGTTCTAGGGTTCCATAATTTTCTATAATATCTCACAGAACTCATGAACCACCAAGGAAATGGCTTACACAGTTGTGGAGGCTGGCAAGTCCCAAAACCATGGGTCAGGTCAGTCTGGAGGATTATTCTCACTCTTGTGGTTTCAGGGGCCAACAAACCCAAATTGGCAGGTCAGGAAACCTGTTGTTGTCTCACAGGGCTATAGAAATTGTTGAATCAGGTCAGATGATAGGCTGCCAGCTCAAACCCCAAGAATTGGATGTCACATGTTGATGAACCAGATGTAAGATCTACTGTAAGAGAGAGACCTTTGCCAGAGCATTCATATATACTGGATGCAGACTCTACTCTGAAGGAAACTAAGAGTGGTGACTTGAGTCACACCTTGTAGTAAGGTGGTGATTTGAGATACATCCTACTCTAATCCTTCCTCATTAACATAACAGACAGCTCACCAAAAATGGGACTGTAACCACAGGCACAGCAGCTAGCATTTATAATACATCACAAAATGGAAGACTGTTGGATAGTGAATTGCTTGCTATGGCCCTTCTAGCTATTTAAGGTGCTTGTGGCCCACCACGGAGATTAGAAAGCTTGCTAATAACGTAAATATGGTGCATAGCATCCTTATGTGTATGGGACAATGCAAATAAGGTGTATAAGGAACCCTAATGTTGGGATTGGTGAGTTTTGTCATCCTGCAAGGCTTTAAAATGTGCCCTCCCAAGGGCAGGAAGGGGATAACCTGGCTCTACCACCAAGAAGAAGAGACAGGAACAGATTGTGTCCTTTGGACCTGTGATTCCTGCACTGGAAACCTCCTGAGATCTGGGAGACAGAGAGCTGTAATGCTGGAGAGATGGCAAGCAGCAGCAGAGCACAGGCAGCAGAATCAGGAGCCTGATAGACAGCATAGTGGGCTCTGGAGCAAGAAAACTGACTGCCTTCAGACAGAATGCTTGCTGACAAAGTGGGGTACCTCTAGACACTTGGTGGAGCTAAGCCACCCATGGAGCTAGACCTCAGTGCCTCCTGGCTGAGGTATACTGGTAGTGTAGGTTGCCTCTGGCCTTTAACAGAGAGCTTTGTGTAACACTTGCCAGAGCAGAGACCAAAAGACTGGCAGGCCAAGGGCCAAAGAGAAGTATCCCTGCAGGCACTGCTGAGAAGAGACTGTCTTGATCTAAAAACCGTATGCTGAGTCTTTCCTGATCCTGAAGTATAGTCTCTTATTTCCCTAATAAACCCTATAATTGGGAGTATTGTCTGTGAGTTCTGCGTGGCCATGGTAATGAATTAATTATTGAACCCAGCAGAAAAGTAGAGTGTGTCGTGGGTGGGAACGTTTGGTGTCAGAATTGGTAAAAAGATTGAAGAGTAGAGACACATCTGACTTCGACCTCATAGGAATCAGACTGGGCTCTTGATCTTAATCTTGATCTTGGTCTTCCTTCCACTTGTAAAGTTAAAGGAGGTCAAATGAGGACTCCCCACACTACTTTTTTACAACGATGGCTAGGAGGGCCATATTAAGTAATTCACTGCACCACACGTCATCAATGTGTATGTGTTATTTTTTGTCTTGTCAATAGTTTATCTCACTAGTATAGCTAAATATTAAGACAGAGCCACATTATGTTTTGAACCACTTATTTATTTATTATGAAATATGTCCACAACTCTCAATATTTTATACCTATTTTGCTTTCCCTTTCATTCCCTTGAGAATGAGTTATTATGTGCCATCGAGTCAAACCTGACTCATAGTGACCCCTCCTTGGGTTTCTGAGGCAGTATCCCAACAGAAGTAGATTGCCCAATCTTCCTCCCAAGGAATGGCTGGTGGGTTTGAACTGCCAGCCTTCTGGTTAGCAGTCAGGTGCCTTAGACACTACGCTACGAGAGACACAAATACATAAGGACCTTTTAAAGGGCTAGTCACAAGTTTTGAACCAAAGAGTTTAAGAATTATAACTTGTTTTTTAATAGTTGAAAACAACCTATGTGTTCCTGATACGTCTCTCCGGTTTGTACCTTTCTGCTAAGCCATGACCATATTCGACCTTACATCATTCTTATTTGTCTTCGATTTCTTACAGCAAAGATTATGACACAGTCATCTCCATATACTCTACAATAGCTAGCACAGTAATTCTGTACAGAATAGGTTATTAATAAATGCCTTAGTTTTGTTAATTTTTTTTTATAATAAAAGAAGCACTAGTTGCAATTACTGTGTTAATAAGCTTGTGGAGACTTTTCCTCACTAAAAATTGAAATAAAGTAATTAACTTTTTAAAAAATGGTTTATTTACAAGTTTTATATTTGAACACAGGGCAGAATCTAGACAGTATGCTCCATGGTACAGGGATGAAATCAGACTCCGACCAGAGAAAGTCAGAAAATGGAGTAACCTTAGCACCAGAGGATACCTTGCCTTTTCTTAAATGCTACTGCTCAGGACATTGCCCAGATGATGCTATTAATAACACATGCATGTAAGTATTTAATGCTTTCACTCTTAAGAGGTTTGAGAATAGAATTTAGTGTTTTTTTCTATTGTTTAATATTTTAATAAGTATCTTTCCAGAGAGTCAAAAAGCTGCTTATTTTGTATATGGGAAGGAATATTTGTTGCCATTAAGTGATTTAAAATTTTTCTTTGAGTAACATTATAGCTTTTTAGATTAGCTAAAACAATCTAGCATTTGTCTAACATTCTGAGTTTATTTAATAAAATTCTGTCACAAAGTTACCGATGCTCATTGTAAAAAGCTTAGAAATTACCAAAAAATAAAATAAAAACTTAACAACCTCCTATAAGTTGGAATCTTCTAACAGATACATAAGAATGATATTATATTTAATTTTATAATTTAATGCTTTTTTTTTTTTTACAACATAGGAACTTTCCTCACCCCCAGTTCAAATATGGTTTATATAACCATTTTTATTTACTTAATTTTATGTTAACTACTCATGTATGATCATATAATTTTGTTCCCTGTTCTTTGGAACATTGAAGACTTAACTAGCAAAAAAATTTTTGTGAATAGTTTTGTTTTGTCAGTCGATTGATTGTCTCACTGTTTGAAAGGTAATAATTAATGTCATGTTTTATATTTTCCTAATAATTTTATGCTCTTTGAAGGTGATCAGATATAACCATAAAATTTTTCATGTAAAATCTTGAAATTATTTTATTGTTAATAGCATTTTAGGTTTATTTGCCCCCTGGTGGTGGTTGACTTAACCATCAGAGACTATGGGCAGTTGTCAATTTATGCCTTCCTAGGAATTTTGTCTTTGAGCTCGTATTACCCATTATGTCACTGTATGAAAAACTTGAAATATAAAAATCAGCATAATGCCAATTCCTATGAAGCAGAGGTCAAATATATCCCAGATTTCCACAGTCTAGATGAAAGGTGACCTCTGCGAATGGTTCCAGTTCAGACTTTAGAGGGTACCTCAAGGCAATAATCCTGGATTCCTCTGGTTTCTACCAGTCCAGTAAATCTTGCCTTTTTAAAAAACAATTTTGAGTTTTACCATGGAGAGAAACTGAAATCATTCCCCTTGTGAACAAGAACCAGACAAGGATGCCCTCTATCACCACTTCTATTCAACATTTTACTGGAAATCCTAGCCAGGGCAAAAGGCAAGAAAGGAAAACCAAAGGCATCCAAATTGGTAAGGAAGAAGTCAAACTATCCCTGTTTGCTGATGATGTGATCCTATACCTAGAAAATGCAAGAGACTCAGTCAGAAATCTACTGGAACTAATTGAAAGATTTAGCATTGTGGCAGGATACAAGATCAACATCCAAAAATCAATTTGATTCCTCTACACCAGCAAAGCCGACTCCAAGGCATATAACAACAACAACATACCAGCAAAGAGATTGCTGAAAAGGAAATCAATACCATTTACAGTAGCTACCAAAAAAATAAAATGCTTGGGAATAAATCTTACCAGGGACACAAAAGACCTATACAAAGAAAACTATAAAAGACTACTTCAGGAAACCATAAGAGATCTGCATAAGTGGAAGAACACCCCATGCTCGTGGATAGGAAGATTGAACATTGTGAAAATGTCAGTTCTATCCAAAGCAATCTGTACATTCAGTCCAGTCCCAATCCAGATCCCATCAACATTCTTTTAAGGATATGGAAAAACCAATCACTAACTTTATATGCAAAGGAAAGAGACTTTGGATAAGCAAAGCACTACTGAAGAAGAAGAACCAACGAATCTCAAAACCTACTATACAGCCACAGTAGTCAAAACTGCCTGGTATTGGTATAATGACAGACACATAGATCAATGGAATAGAATTGAGAACCCAGAAATAGATCCATCGACCTATGTCAGCTGATCTTTGACAAAGGGCCAAAATCCAATAAATGGGGAAGGCACTGTCTGTTTAATAAATGGTGCTGGGAAAACTGGATATCCATTTGCAGAAAAATGAAACAAGATCTGTACCTCACACTATACACAAAAACTAATTCCAGATGGATCAAAGACTTAAATGTGAAACCTAAAATATAAAGTTCTTCAAGGAAAAACTAGGGGCAAATTTAGGGGCCCTGAAAAATGGCAGAAATAGACTATCAAGCTTAACCCAAAATGCACAAACAGCAGAAGAGAAACTAGACGAATGAGACCTTCTAAAAATTAAATTTTTATGTGCTTCCAGAGACTTCTCCAAAAGAGTCAAAAGAGAACCTACAGATTGGGAAAAAATATTTGGCAATGACATATCTGACAAGGAACTTATCTCTAGAATTTATGCAAAACTCCAACACCTCGGCAACAAAAAGACAAGTAATCCAATTGAAAAATGGGCAGAAGACATGAATAGACACTTCACCAAAGAGGATATTCAGGTGGCCAACAAACATATGAAGAAGTGCTCACGATCATTAACTGTTGTTGTTGTTGTTGTGTGCCATCGAGTTGGCACTGACTCATAGCGATCCCTCCTTGGGTTTCCAAGATGGTATCACTACAGAAGTAGATTGCCCAACCTTCCTTCCGAGGAGTGGTTGGTGGGTTTGAACCTCCAACCTTCTGGTTAGCAGTCATTAGCCATTAGAGAGATACAAATCAAAACAACAATGAGATACCATCTTGCCCCAGCATTAGTACCAAAGTTCAACGAGACAGAAAATAACAAATGCTAACAAGGATCCCTCTGGCAAGAGTGGGAGAGATTGGGACTCTCATACACTGCTGGTAGGATTGCCAAATGATACAACCACTATGGAAATCAGTATGACAATTAATTAAAAAGTTGGAATTAGAAATACCATTCCATTACTAAGCCATTCCATTACTAAGTATACATCCTAAAGAAGTGAGAGCCAGGACAAGAACAGATACATGCACACCCATGTTCATCGCAGCACTATTTACAATAGCCAAAAGATGGAAACAACCTAGGTGTTCATCAGCTGAAGAATGGATAACTGAACTATGGTACATACGCACAATGGAATACTATGCAACCCTAAAGATTAACTTAGAATCCACAAACACCACATAATGTGGATGAACTTGGAGGACATTATGCTGAGTGAAATAAGTCAATCACAGAAGGACAAATATTGTATTAATCTGTTACTATAAAAAGTCAAGGAAAGGTTTCTATATGGAAGGAAATTTTCTTTGTTAGATACCAGGGGTGGGAAGGAACACTGTTAGATAGGTAGAGACAAGTATTGATTTGGAGACAGAGAAGGGCAATGTGCTAAATGTGAGTGATCAACTTGGTGACATTGAGGAAGAGGAAGACAGAGAGAGGTGCATAGAAGGTACAGACAACAAAGGTGAATCCTTTTGCACATACAGTACTGCATTGTCAGTGAAGGCAAACATGGATATACGGGTGGATAGATGGATGGACAGGCTGAACTATTAGGTATGTCTATGTGGGGAGTGGGGTGCCCAAGACCATGTATAGGGTTGGCAGACAATGTCTCTACAAGCATATTGGTATGTTCTATAAGAATTCCCAGGGAGCTCTGAGCATAGTGCCTAAGGCACTTGACTGCTAACCAGAATGCTGGTGGTTCATACCTACCAGCCACTCCTCAGAAGGAAGATGGGGCAATCCGTAGTGATACTGCCTCGGAAACCCAAGGAGGGGTCGCTATGAGTCGGGTCCAACTCGATGGCACCTAACAACAACATCCCATGTA